TGCCCATGGGCCGGGCTTGGGTACTGGAAGGGAGGTGGGTAGGGTGTTATTGGATGGGTAGGGCCCGGAGTGGGGGTAGGGTGGGTGCAGGTCGTCGTTTGTGGTGTCGAAAAAATTGAGATCTTAGGGGGAGCCGGAGTGACCATACGAGAAGCACGATTCATCGAACACGACGTGACGGTAGATAATGATTTTATGGGTTTCAAGATCGAAACAGCGAAAGCCGCGTTGGTTAGAGGGATAACCGAGAAAAAAGCAACGAGCGGAGCGTGGGGCTAGTTTGTGAGGAGCGGTGGCGGAGATATTGGGGTAACACAGGTAGCCAAAGACATGAAGGTGACCGTAAGTATTAAATACAAAATTATTTCAAACTTTATATCCCATTACATACTACGAAGTATGAGTATATTTTAGTATATGGTGTATTTTTTTTCAACAAACTAAACAAAACAAAGTTAGAGTTGAAAGATGATACGTGTTGTATGTCATACATGTATTTTCTCATTATGTGTCATTACTTAATTGATTCATTTGAAATTTTTTATTTGAATTTTTTAATAAAAAAATATTTATTTATTATTTTTTTCAGTGATCATTTAGTTTGTATAAAACTTTTCACGTCACGTGTGCACACCATGCTACATGTGATACCACAAGTGATGTCATCAATGCATATTTATTTTTATTTGGTTTATATAAACTTCATATATCATATTAAAGAATTAAAATAAACAATATTTTATTTTTTAGATGTAGAATATTAGAAAACATGCAAAGTCTGAAAAAGAACTAACATTATATATACATATACATACATGCATGCATGCATGCATACATACACACACACACAGATATATATATATATATATATATATATATATATATATATATATATATATATATATATATATACACATACAGGGGCGGATCCAGTGCTTAGCTATGGGGGCAGTGGCCCCCAGTGAACATATTTAAATATTCTATTAAAAAGAAAAAAGTTGGGGTTGATTTCATTGATGCCCCCAGTAAAAAATTCTTGCTGCCCCAGTCGAAATTCTTGGTGCCCTAGTCCAAACGTTAGTACACGGCCCAACTCTATTTTTTTATTAGTAAAAATTTTATTTTATAGCCAAAAGCCCCAACTAAGTTGCCCAATTCTTTATTCCTCAATTCTAGTTAAAAAAAAGACAAACAATCCAATGGCTAATGGAAACTTTTGAAGCAAAAAAATTGATTTTTTTGTCATTTACTATTGTCATCTAGTATCCGTCTAGTTTGATATTAACGAATCAAATGAACAAACTTTGATCAATCATTAAATTAAATTTGTATAAGATATTAGTACAAAAATAATTTTACTAGGTTTATCTTATCAAAAACTATCAGAAACGTATTTCTTTATATTAATACACTACTTCCGCCCCCCGAGTATTTGTCTAGTTCAGACTTTCTGAAGTTGGTCATTTTCGATCTTTGACCACGAATTATATAGAAATTTTATGATATATTTAGATAAAGCAATATTTTAGAAATATTATATGAAATAAATCTAATAAAATCATTTCTGTATCAATATCTAATATTAATTTTATTTAATTAGTGGTCAAAGTTTGTCAATTTTAACTACAAAAATTCAAAATTAGACATATAGTCATGGACCGAGGTAGTGCAATATAAACTTAATATAATTAATTTTTAAATTTCGTTCAAATTAACTTTTTTGATTCAAACTAGATAAATACTTCAAGGCGGAAGAATTACATTGCATTAAAAGAATTTGTAGATGTGTTGCCTCTAAACCCCGTCTTGCTCTTGCTGCTATTCTTTTTCAATGGTGCCCCAGTGATATGTTGTCCTAGATCCGCCACTATATATATATATATATATATATATATATATATATATATATATATATATATATATATATATATATATATAAAGAAATCCACCATTTATTTTATGTTGTTATTTTACCAAATAACTATATTTTATTAACTATATATTTATTAACTGTATACTTATTTTATTTCATAATATTTTATTTGTAACATTATTTAATTTTCTATATATCATTTCAACAAATTAAATTAATTTAATTTGTTTTTATTGAAGTATAACACATAGCATATCTATAGGCCATACACCGCATTTGTATTTTTTAATGATTTATTATTACCTTAATTTATTTGGCATTTTGATTTTATTTTGTCATTAGTTAAATCAATTTTCATTCGTATATCATTTAATAACAATTTGATATTTTTGGTGAAGTTGTTCTATACTCTGACCACAAAGTGTGTAAATTTATAAAAATTGTGTCCATTTAAAATATTGCTTTCATATATCAAATTTTTATGATATTTGATTATTTAAAATTGTATTTAATTTATGATCAAAGTGTTACCAAAAAAGTCTAACTATGATAATCTTAATTAATAGACACGTGAACACATCCCGAGCCCGTGCGAAGCACGGGGTAGAAAAGTAGTTAGAGATTGTTGTGAATGCAAGATGGGGAGGTTTTGAAGGAGATATTTTGAGAGGTGACTTCACTGACTTCGGCCATGGTTGTGAGAAAGAGGAGATGGGGTCGCCGGCATGGGGGAGAATCGGCGTGGCCGAGGGTGGAGCTGCCGCAGGAGGACGGCGGCGCTTGGGAGGGAGGCAGTGGTTTTTGAGCCGAGAGGGAGAGAGAGAAGGGGGACGAATTAGGGTTTTGCTATTTTAGGCTCCGATACCTTGTACAAAGGTTAATTTCCTTGATTGATTATGTGGGAGTACATGTCTATATATACACAAGGATTCATAATCCTATACAAGGTAGGAGACAATAATAGAAAACAATATATTTAATGTATATAAATTTAACACATGAAAAGTTAAATGAGAAGATTATTTTGAGACGTAGTGAGTAATAATTATAAAATAATCATTGTCATTTAAGGCGAAGTATTATGCATGTGAAATTAATTAGTGAAATACAAAGTTAACTTTTGGGCGAGCCAACTGAATGACTACAGGTAAATAAGAGACTTATGAGAGTTCTACAAAGTAAACATCTAATTTGAGAAGAGAGAAACTTGAATTCTGAATGTATTTAGCCTTTCCGTTTTTCGACTTCACAAGAAAAATATTGAAAAGTAAAAATATGAATGACTAAAATTTATTTGGAAGAAATAGAAAAAAATTTTACCACATATTTTTTATTTTATTATGTACATAAAAAATAAAATAATCATTTTCAATCAGAATAAAATGGAAAATAGAACAATCAATTGTAGACGATTGCGTATGTACCATAATAGGAATACTAGGGCTGTGCATTATTCGGTCCGGACCCGGACCGACCCGAAACCCGGCCAAAACCGGACCGGTCCGGTCCCCGGTCCTCATTTTTTCCTTATTCGGGTTCCGGTCCGGTCCGGTCCATCGGGTTTCGGTCCGGACCGGTGGACTGGTTAGATTTTATTTTTTTAAATAATTTTTAATGTTTTTTCTTATACTTAAAATTAGTTTAACTTTAATGCTAAATTTTTTTAAATGTTTTGATTTTATTATTTAATATAATTTTTTAAATACATTTCAATTTAAAATAAGATACCAATTGTAATGATTTTTAAATATTTTTAATATGAAAAGTGTGAAAAAGTAAAAATTATCTTTAAATTAGCGATCTAATGCATTTCAAATTTATATACCAATACTATAACTTAAATTTGTATTTTATCAATAATAAAACTCTAATCCGCAGGACAAACATTGTAAACAATCTCATGAACAAAAATAGTAAAAAATGTATCGGTTGGTCAAAATAATTCGAAACTCAAAAAAATATTACAAAGAAACAAAAATGTACTAAGAAGAAGTATATTCCCTATGCAAAATAAAAATTATGAACAGATTTTATGCAATACGGATTGTGTTTGATAATGTTTAGTGCATGTTACAATTAAAAATTAGTTGTAGTAATATTTTTATTCAATTGAATACTTTAAATTAAAAAAATAAAATAAAATTTAAAAAAAAAAATTAAAAGTAACATTTATTCGGTCTGGTCCCGGTCCGGTCCGGGTTTTACCGGTCCGGTCCCGGGCCGGTCCTTAGCTTAATCGGTCCGGTCCTCTGTCCACCAAATGCCCCTTATTCGGTCCCGGTCCGGTCCAGGTTTGACCCGATGAACACCCCTAAGGAATACTACATATGTCCGAGTGTATTTTTCCAGTTTGACTTAAAAAAGTCAAAGTGAACTAACTTTGAATTTCATTTACTCTTAATTTGTACGGAGTATATCATATTTGATGGTGTAAAATACCGTGCAAATATTAAGTATAAATGAGCGGAAGGGTTGTAGGTGGAAGCACCTGTAACTCGGTTTGTTATTAATGATGTTGGGACTGGTTACAAAGTACAAGCCGTGCAGGTTAATTAGAACATGCCTCACAAATGAGGCTTTTAGTCCTATTTATAATAATCTCTAAGCACGTCTTTGTTCATCCGGTCGGTCAGTCCTCAGCCGGTCAGTTTGTATGCCTTCTTCAAAGGAAGCCATGTCCGTGATTTCGGACCTTTTCACCCCTCACCGGTCAGACTGCCCGGGTCGACCCGGTCATAGGGCGTTGGATTTGATACCTCCCGGTCGGTACGAACCTACTGGGTGGAATCCATGGGTTAATACCCATCAAGAAGTCCTCCGATTCCTGGCCCTGTGGGTACCATCAGGGGCGGGAAGCACGTGCGAGCTTCTTTTCAAATTTCAATTCCTGGGCGGGTTTGGCGGGAAAACGGCACTTGTAAACCGGTGCCAAAACAAATATATTTGAATTTTGAATTTTGAAATCCCGGGCGTCAAACGCGGGGGAATCTTTATTGGAATCCGGTACGGCGCCGCCGATTTGTTGTGCCGTTTCGGCTGCCACGTGTCGCTCCCCCATTGGTCTGGCTGGGCGGCACCTTCTCTTATATAAAGCGAGGTTCCCCACCAAATTTTTTCACTTGCAATTTGCTATCCAAAAATCTGCCCGGTTGCTCCCACTATCTTTCGAGTCCTCCGAGTCTTCTAGTTTCAAGTAAGTCTTCTTTCTTTTCCTCATCTCTCTAAGTCATGTCTGACCACGAGGATAGCCAGAACCCTTCCATCCATTCTTACGGTTCTAGTGCCCGGTCTCAGACCTCCAGTCCCCAATCCTACTCTTCTTTTGAGCGCCCAACTGCTTCTCCACAGAAGAAGCCGGTTGATGCTTCTACTTGTGCCCCTTCTTCTTCCGCGGCACAAGTGGTCTCGGGCGCCCGGTCTGTGGATGAGGGCTTCACTCTGTTGGATGACCGGTTGCTCTTGGAGCAGCCGTCGTACATGCAGAAGGCTCAAGTCCACGAGCTGCGCAACCTAATGCCCGATGGTTACCAGTTGTTCTACCGGGCAACGTGGAAGAATATTATTTCTCTCCACGCCGGTACGACGATTGGGATCCATTATCATTCCATCAAGGACTTGGGTGAATTCTCCATTCATCCCTTCAAAGTCCTTTTCTTTGAGACATACGGGATCATGCCCGGGCAGTTAGCCCTTAATGGTCACCGTATGCTCAACAGTTTCATCAACGTCTGTCGCTTCCTTCGCATCCCTCTCTCCCTTCGTCTCTTCAACCATATGTTCGATGTCCGGCCCGGGTCCAAGGAAACCCTTGGATTCATGATCGTGTCCTCTCATCAGGGCCGGGCATTCCTTTCCGGTCTACCTCCTTCCAACCGGGGTTGGAAGGACAAATATGTTTCTATCAAATTCCCCCCGGATGCTTTCTCTTTTTCCCAAAATGCTTGGGGGAAAAGAATGAAAGTCCAGGTCAAGCCCAGGGAGACTGATGACCTGGCCGCCTGGGAAGCCGCTCTCCGGATCTGGGACACCTCCACCCGCGGTCTTTATAATGTCGGGAAGTGGGGGGTCTACCTGGGTCTGGAGACTAACCCCAAACATGAGATTGTTCTAGGAGAGGCGATCCCAGATGCAATCCCTCTCCGCCGCGTGCAAGGGTCAAAGGCCCCGGTCTCTGCCGTTGCCGGTTCCTCATGCCGGGGAAAGAAGAAGGAGAAAGGTCCCCCTTACCTTTCCTCTATTTTATTCTGTTTTGTGCTTTAACTCCTTTTTACTAACCGGGTTTTGCTGCTCTTTTCAGTGGTGAAGTTTAACTCCAAATTTCCCATCCCCCAAATCGTGGTCGTGGAGGAGCCCTCCACTGCCCAGCCTTTTAGCCAGCCCTCCGGTCAACCACTTACACTGGATGAACAGCCAGCCCAATCTCATTAGGGCACCAGCCAACCCATCCACTCCGGGGAGATCTACATCAATGTAGATACCATGGAGTTCGATAACCTACTAATGGAGACCGGCCACACATCAGAGGCCGGTCAAGGCGGTCAGCTGGCCCAGGGAGGTGGCAAAGATGAAGCCACCGAGGAGGCCCTCTAGAAGAAGAGGCGGAGGACTCAGGATGTAGACCAGTCAGCCCAGTCCTCCGATCGGCAAACGACGAGGTGAGCCCCGGTCTATGGAACTCATGGCCCGGTCGGATGAGGAGCTCTTCCAAGCTTTCTGCGCCGACCTGAATGAGGTAATCCCCCCATCTCTCTTATATTTTTTCCACAACATTTTTAGGATCGTTCTTCTGAAATATTTCCATCCCTTTGAAGCAGGTCGGCCGGATCGGCCAGGAGTGGTTCACCCGGCTAGTCAAATCCAAGGATGAGGAGAAGGCCCGGCTGGAGGGCATGATGGTGGCCTGCCGGAAGGAGGCCAAGGCCACCCATGAGAAGGCGGAGAAAACTGAAGAGAAGTTGCCGGAGCACTATGTAGCTTTCTGCAAGCTCTACGCCAAACATGAGGGGTTGCTGAAGGCCTCCAAAGAGGTTGATGCTCAAGCTCAAGAGAAGATCCAAGAGCTTGAGGGGGAGAAGGCAAAGCTGCAGAAGGAAGCCGCCCGGTCAGCTCAGGAGGTTGCCTAGCTGAGGGCGGAGTTGGAAAGAGAAAGAAGCGACCGAGCTTCCTATGCTGCGGCCTGGGCAGCCCAAGAGCCTGATCAGTTCGATGCCCGAACGATTCTTGATCGGGAGACCGGCATCCAGTTCTTCCAAGGTTGTTGGAAAACATTTTCACTTTGACATTTTGCTGATGACAATGTTTGTTTCCATTTAGGTTTTGATATTGACAAACCGTCGGGAACATGGAACAAAATGAAAAGATTCAAAGAGATAGAAAAAGTTCTTTGAAGAAACAAAAAGCACAAGGCTATGACGCTGCTAAAGATGGCGACATTGGCATTTTGAAGACGTATTCTAAAGACTTAGGTTTTATTGTAACAAGCTCATTCAATTTCTCTATGTCATGGCTTGAAACAAAATATGTTTTTCATGCATCAAATGAGTGTTTTCATAAATGGTTTTTAAGTTTCTAAAACCCATGGTTCTTGCTTAACCAAAACCATAACCATCGGTTATCGGCGTTCGGTTTTCGGAATTGGTTATTGGCATTGATTTTAACCAAATGGTTTTTGGGTTTTTATCTTTGGTTTATGCTTCTGGACACATTTAAAGGTTTTCCAAATGATTAGTTTTCAAAAACCATAACCTTTGTTTTTCGGCATTGGTTATCGGCTTTCGGCGCCGGTTATCGGTGTTGGTTTTTGGCGCCCAAATCAATCAAGTGGTTTTTAATATTTTATGATTGGTTTTTACTTCTGGACATATCAAAATGGTTTTCCAACAAAAACATGTTAAAAACCACCTTTCGTTTTTGGTCTTTTGGTGAAAACCATGTGAAACGGCATAAACTTGGCTAGCCGTGATTTTTACCTTAATGAAGTGGTTTTTAAGTTTTTATACTTGGTTTCTACATTAAATACATTATATAAGAGTTTCCAACACTTGGTTTTCATTTTGGAGAACTTTGGTTTTTGACATCGGTTTTCGGCGTTGGCTGCCAAACCATGGTTCTGGCAAACCATCCCAACATGCATGTCGGAAATCCCAACAGCGATGTTGGCATTCAGAAGCCCTGGGCAGTAAGTTTTTGAACAGCGATGTTCATTGTTGAACAGCGATGTTTTCAAATGACCGTTGGGCTATTTAAGACAAAATCTTTCCATTTTTGAAAGTCAAACACCCCAACATCGATGTAGACTTCTATACATCGATGTTTTGGTGACCGTTAGCCATTTTTAAAGGAAAGTCAAAGCCAAAACAGCGATGTTCACTTTATGAACAGCGCTGTTAGGCTAGATTTCAGCAGATCCACTTTTATTTGATTTCCACAAATCAAGCTAATCAACCCCAATCTTTTCCCAACCGTTGCACCTTGTTTTTGGGTATAAAAAGGGGTCTCTTGGGTCTACTTTTCACATCCATTCCTCACACATTTCATAGCTTTACATTGCATCATTCCATAAACTTTTTACATAGCTTTTTAGAGCCATTTCTTGAGGAATTGAGTGTGTTGTTGATCTAAATTAGTTTACTCATATTCTACTCTTTAAGAGAGTTTTTGTTCTTGAGTGGTTAAGTGTTGTGAACACTTTAAGGGAGGTTTGTTCCCTTGGTTGTTCGAAGGAAGGGCATATTCCTTCGAGTTGAAGTCTTGGAGTGCGGTATCTCCGAGCAAGTATATTGAGGCTCGTGGGACTCGAGTTCTGAGGTTGTAACGGTTTGTTAAGCACCCGTAATCTTAACGGAAGTAGTGTAGCTCGAGAGAGTCTCTCGGGAGGCTGGACTAGCCACACGTTGTGGTGAACCAGGGTAAAATTGGTGTGTTCTTTCTTTACGCTCTTTTATTCCGCTTTTTGCTTTATCTCTGCAATTTTTATTCCGCGAAAATTTATAAACATTCTCGTGCCTCACTATTCACCCCCCCTCTAGTGAAGGGCACTTATTCTAACAGCCTTTACAAGCACGAAGAATCTTCCAAGGTCATCGACGAGATCGGGACCTTTGGCTTCGAGAGCGGCCAGTATCAAGAGCACCGGGGGTTGAATGGGATTATTCAAAGGCGAATCCAAGGTTTTGAGCCCAAGGCCTTCTCCCTGCTCGAGCTTCATGATGAGGAGCTGGTTCCTCTTTTCAAAGGGATATGAAGTGATGGACTTTTTTTTCTTTATATTTCTGATGTAAGAACCTGCCCCCGGGCACTTGTACAACATTTTTAAATTTCAATGAAGTCAGTTTTCCATTTTGTGTGTTGAATGCCTTCTCTCTACGTTGGAATCTTGTAAATTCACGTGACTACACTGGTTTTGAAAAGATTTTTTCTACTTTAAATCTATTGCCGGGTAGATTTATAACGTATGCAGCCCGGCTGAATCCACTATGTCTAACGTATGCAGCCAAGTCTTTTCGACAGACTGACCAAGTGTCCGGGAAGAGATGGAGTTCGACCGATCTCTTTCCAAATGATTTCTGGCCTAAGAAAGGACAGTTCACCATATTCTTTTCATTTGAAAAGGATGGTTTCTTGCCCGGGCACAAACGAACCCGACTTATCTTTCACACCGGCGGGGGATGCCTCAGCGGGTTGGGAGGAGATGTATTTTGGGCCAGAGCATGGGGGTACATCCCAGAGATGAAAAGAGTAAATCCCCTGGGTTCTTGGAACATGGGCATAAATTGTCCAAAGTTTTGGAGGGCTTGACCCGACGCTGTTTGAGTAGTGAAGGTGGTGATTATGGGGGAGAAAAGAGAAGGTAATGGTGTGATTCCTCCCGGGATTAGGGTAACACCCTCCGCCGGGGTGGAAATTTGGGCAATCATGGATTCCATATTGTTGTTCATCATGGCTTCTTTTTGTAAAGAGGTCCCACGGGTGGCGCCAATTTGATGGTGTAAAATACCGTGCAAATATTAAGTATAAATGAGCGGAAGGGTTGTAGCTGTAGGTGGAAGCACCTGTAACCCGGTTTGTTATTAATGATGTTGGGACTGATTACAAAGTACAAGCCGTGCAGGTTAATTAGAACATGCCTCACAAATGAGGCTTTTAGTCCTATTTATAATAATCTCTAAGCACGTCAAGCACGTCTTTGTTCATCCGGCTGGTCAGTTTGTATGCCTTCGTCAAAGGAAGCCATGTCCGTGATTTTGGACCTTCTCACCCCTGACCGGTCAGACTGCCCGGGTCGATCCGGTCATAGGGCGTTGGATTTGATACCTCCCGGTCGGTACGAACCTACCGGGTGGAATCCATGGGTTAATACCCATCAATATTAATAAATACTCCCTCCGTCCTATAATGTTCTCCCCGGTTCATTTTATGAAGTTTGACCGACTTTTTTTTAATTCAATTTATTTGATTGTAGGTGTAAAATTAAAAAATAAAATTTATATATTTAAAAACTACATCAAAAGTTCTACAAAACAAGTGGTCACAAGACTATATTATTTTATCAAATACGTAATGAAAATAGGTAAAGAAAGTGATTAAAGTTTGACCGTGTAAAAAGTGAGTGGGAAGAACATTATAGGACGGAGGGAGTACGTAGTATTAGAGAGTATCCCACACAAAAAAGTGTGCAGAAAATAATTGGCACATAAACTCTTGAATTGAACTAAGTGATCGATTGGATTGTGTTTTTTAATGTGATTCAACCCAAGTGCCTTATGGTCAGTTCAGTGATCACTACCCCATTTTAAATTCTATCATGGTATCTGATGGGGGAAATTATCTCGACCAGAATATCGTTCTTAGCCGGGCAAGAACGATAAACTAGTCTAACAAAATACACCAAAATACAAAAACAAAGATTTTGACGTGGAAACCCAAATCGGGAGAAAACCATGGATTTTTTTTGGCGGTACCTTGCCAACGGGAGATTTTTTATTAATATCGGGGGTTGTACACGGTACATAATTTAGGCGTAAAAGCCATTAATGGAGCATTTGAGCTCTTGAAGAAGAAGAAGAAGAATCCATTCTAAAGCTTTCTAGAGAGAGAGAAAAGTGGGCAGGGAGAGGGAATTGGCCTCCCTTAACATTGAGAGCAACCCCTCCTTTTATAGGGAAGGAAGGGGAACATCTTCAGAAGAATATTTTCTTATTCCTTCATTTTACTAAACAGGTCCGGTTTGATTATTCTTTGTAAATAATTGAAAAATGTGGGCTTAACTACGTATTATTTCCCATTCGTATCCGAGCTAGTTTTAGCCCACCTCGTTAAGGTGTCCGTTTAGACGTTCATTCCTAACAGCCTTTTTCTTTAGCCAATTGTTCGTGTGAAATGGATATCCAACGACATCTGACCTGTTTAACCCGATTACTCTTCTGGAAGTTCATACCCATCGGCTCGTGGTCCTTTAGGTGTTGGCGCTCAAAAAAAAGTCAAGGGAATGGAAGTGCGTTTGCAAGTGCTCACCGGTTAGATTCAAAATGGTCTGGTTCTCCACTTGAGAGGGAATATTAGAAAACATCCCACATTGGAAAAGTCAGAAGAAAATAATTTGTACTCCCTCCGTCCACAATTAAACTTCCCACTTTCCTTTTTCATCCGTCCACAAAAAAATTTTCCATTTCTATTTTAGGAAAGTTTTTATAATTGAAATGTCCCTTCTACCCTTATTCCTCCTCTTCCTTTCTTCTTTCACCTACGAATTTTTTTTCTTGATTTTTTTGTTTCTTTTTTTTCTTCTTTTTCTCTTTCATATTCATTCTCGTTTTCTTTCTTCTTCCGTCATTCTTCTTTAATTATTTTTTTCTTCCTTCTTCCTTCTTCCATCTTCTTCTTTTTTCTTCTTCCGTCTCTTCTTCTTTCTTCTACATTTTTTTATTTCTTCTTCCTTCTTCTTCTATCAACTTGAATAAAAAAAATTCCTTTTTGCAGCGAAATTTTTTTCCAAATTTGCAGCGAAAAATTCTAGCTGTGGGTTGCGTCTTCGCCGAATCTAGATTTGCAGCGAATTTTTTTTTTCAATTTCTTTCCAGATCTGTGGTGGGATGTTGATATTCCTCAACGAGAATTCTGAATATACACCTTTGCGATAAAGGGGGTTGTGATAGACTGACAGCGAGGGATGCAGGTCAGCGACGACGGGGGGATGCGGGTTGTGACGGCGAGAGAATGCCGGGGGCTGCGATGCTAGGGGCTTGCGATGTCAGTGCGCTGCGATGGCGCGGGTTGTGGAAGCGTCATCAGTGGTGGTGTCGAAGCTTCGGCGGGCGGTGGTGTGGAAGTGCCAGCATCGGCGTAGGCAGAGCTAATTGGCGTCATAGATGCTAGTGGGGTGAACAGGGTAGAAAGGTTGAGAGGCATAATGGGAAAGTCAACACAATTTTCATTCCACATTAATTTGCGCACCGAGTCAAAGCGAGAAGTTTAATTTTGGACAGAGGAAGTATATAAATTCTTGAGTTTAACTAAGTAATCGATTTGATTCAATCTTTTAATGTGGTTCAAGTTAGGTGCCTTATGTCTCAGTTTAGTGATTCCTAACTCATTCTAAATTCTATCACGTGGTATATAATGAAATACAATTTTTAAAGGTTTCATTAAGATAAATATAATAAAATTATGTTGATACTAAAGTTCATTTAATTTGATTCAAAAAAATAAAATTGGATAGATACACTCAAATGGAGAGAGTTTTAAAGAGGAAAAACATAATGAGAGTCCGGCTGAGTTCCGTTTGCCTTATCTGATTTGATTTTTTGTTGATCTGATCTGTTTTGATTTCAGTTATAATAAAAGTTGTTTCTGATCTACTTATGTAATTTAATCTATCTAATTATAATAAGAATAAGTAATAAGTAAAAAGAATAAATTTCACGGAATACTACTTCCCTGATTTCTGTCAATTTTAGGAGGGGTAGGAACCGTCAATTTTACAAACGGGGCACCGGAGCGCCCCCGGGTCATCTCATGACATTGATAATCAATGTCATAGGAACCTTGCCCTTCCACAACAAGGTTATCATGACATTGGGAACCAATGTCATGAGATGACCCGGGGGCACTTCGATGCCCCGTTCGTAAAATTGACGGTTGTTACCCCTCCTAACCCCCGGTAAACCCCCACCTGCCACGACCCGAACACACCCCCCACACCCTTCAATTGCACCCCACAAAATGATTTGAATTGCATCATTGCATGCATGGACCACTTATTACTCTCTTCATCTAAAAGATTTCTTTTTTATTTGATCTTCTTGATACAATTTTTAAAATTTAACCATAAATTACAAAAAAATATATTTTTTAAATTATCATATACTTTCTCCATCCCTATTTTGATTACAAAATGGGAATTACGATGCAAATTCCATGATTTTTTTAAATTATTTTATTTACAAATTGATACATCAATACGAAATACTCCGTAAAAATTATATATTAAAAAACTACGTTCAAAGTTCTACAAAACAAATGGTGACAAAAATATTTTATTTTATCAAATAATCAATGAAAAGTTGAAAACCTACAAATAAACAAAAGTTATCGAAAGGAAAGAAAAAAAATAAATTTGTAATCAAAATAAGGACGGAAGGAGTGTAATATATAGAAATCACTCTAAATATGACTAAAACCTAGACAAAAGTACTAAAATAGAACTTTCATTTTTTCTCAAAATAAGATTTCACACTGTGGTTGTAATGTAGCACTGTACATGTTTACATTACTATACTTTTTGGTAATGTACATGATCATGTTTGGTAATGTAGATGCATTTTAAATCCTGTTTCGGGAATAAAAAATAGAAGTCCTATTTTGGTATATTTTCAATGTTCTACCCCTATTTTGATCTTTCTCCCTGTAACATATTCGTCCCAGTTTATTTATTTCTTTAATTTATCTTTTTCTATTCAAACTAGACAAACTTTGAGTCTCGATTATTCTTAATTTATATTGCATATTAATATAGTAAAATACAATTTTGAAATTTTTCAATAAGATAAATATAATAAAATCATTTTTATACTACGTACACCCTTCTTCCCAATTTCAATTCTCTGTTTGGGTTTACGATGTTTGACTGAAGTTATTTTCAAATTATTTTAAGTAAAAAATGGTGTAGAGTTAAAAAATAAAAATTACATATTTAAAGACATCAAAAGATCTACAAAACTAGTGGTGAAAGGACTATATTATTTTATCAAATAACTAGTAAAAAAATAAGAAAGAAAACAAAAGAAATTTGACTAAGTGAATAGTAAATAAATAATTTAATTTGGGATGTCGAGGGAGTACTAAAATATATTACAGTTTTAATTTAATTAAATCTCAGTCACTTTTTTGAATTCGGAAATTTCAGCCAGGGATTATCTCAGCAGATCTTCAGCCAGCGCCCAGCAACTGTCACAGAAGGAAAGAATTATTTTGAAGCCAGCGATTCCTTTTTAATTTAAAGACCAGCAATTATCGCAGAAATTTCTGTGGTCAAGTGGAATAAAGGATAGGGAGATCTGCTGGTGCAGTCCGTATATAATGTTCTTTTAATTAC